GCCTTCTGAGGCAGACAGGTGTCCTGGGATGATGGGCTGTGTCCTGGGATGATGGGCTGTCCTGCTGCCCTGGAGCTGTCCAGCCCTCTTGGCTTGGCACTCTGGCCTCTTTTGTGTCTGGCAGGATGCTGGTGAGACAGGAAAAGCCTGAAGTAGATCTGACCTGTCCAGATGGATTTAAGCTGGTTTCTGGAGCGTGGGAAAAATTTTGAACATGTTAAGCAGCCATGAGAAAATTAGTGACCATTTGTAGCGTTTAGTTCTCTGCTCATATTGGTTAGTGTTAATGGGAGAGACAGAGAGATTGGAACATGTTTTTAAGCTTTATCAGAGACAGATCATTTAAGGCACCTGTTTCCTTTACTAGTTTAGCATCCAGGAGACACAGGTGACCAATTGTTGAGAGCATTTAACAGTGATAGACTGTTACATTAAAGTCTGTTTTTGCAGAGCCCAGACACTTTTGGGCCTGGGGGTGTAAAAACCTTTTGATTATTACTGTTTCTTACTTGATGATCCCTGGACTCTAGTTCTGTGGTGGTCCTGTACCATTAGCTGAGCAGTGAGTTAGGAGAGGGAACCGGGAAGAGAAAAGCTTGTGGTGTGTGAGAACTTATTTCTTTGGAATTAGGGACAGGGCAGAGAGATCAGGGCCCTCCCTGTCTGTGTGCATGAGGAGGAGAAGCACTGTGACAGTCTGGAGCGAGGCACATGGAGGGAGCAATGAAATGAAAGCCCCTACCTTAGCTGGAAAACCTTTTCCCATTAAGTAACCCTGAAAGTACAATTAAATCTGGTGTGTGTGTGTGTGTGTGTGTGTGTGTGTGTGTGTGTGTAAGGCTGCCCTCCCTACCCCAACAATAGGGAAACAGGAGAGGTGAGATCCCAGCATGCACCAGCACTTAGCAATTTTGTTCTCAGGCTTTTTTTTTTCTCTCTCTCTCTCTGGAACACCTTGGATGCCACAGATGAAACTTTCGCCTTTAGGGTCAAGAGCCTTGCTCTCCAGATGCTTAAGTTTTAGTCCTATGTTGAGGGGGGGGGGGCTTCTGGGAAACAAGAGATGTATTTTACTCCATGTCTTGAATTTTTCGATGTCTGCTGACTTGAGGACATCTTTTGCAAGACCAGCCAGGAGGCAGGCTATAAACTGATCTCTGGCTAAAGAGCCATCCTGATTACTGTGATCCCCATGTGGGTCCTGACCGTAAACTTATTTGTATGCATTCTAGCTGGCTTTCAGACCCTTCTGCGATTCTCAGGGCAGCTTGAGAACGAGTGGGAAGAGTTAAGGTGAGTTAAAGCCCGCCCACTGCTGGAGAACAGGAAGCAGAAGTCAGACAGATGTGGTTGCAAGTGGCAGGGGGCTGTAGGGGGAGGGAGGAGGGTTCAGAGCTTCAGTAGAAAGCTTGGGGATAAGGTAACTCGTTTTATTTGCCCATTTGCTGGCAGAAGTTCCCATGAAACTGTTATGTGGCCAAATTTACTGGTAACCTCCCCTATGTCCCATGGCTGCAGCCGAGAGAAAAATAAAAAATTAAAATAACAAACAAGGATCCCAGGCTCTTATCTCAAGCGTCCCTGGGAATAGGCAGTCTGTGAATCGGCATTAACAGCACAGGTTTCTCAGACCGTTGTCACAATAGGGGTAAGGGCTGGGGCTTACGTACCCATAAGACCCCCTGGGGGCTGGACGGCATCCTATACTTCATCAAGATAGAATGCGTCGTGGTACGCAGCGGCGTGAATGATATCGCTCAGGCTGCAGCTGTTGGGACTCACCAATCTTGGGGAGATGCGGCAGTGGGTAGGAGCTTCAGGGGTCGTGAGCACAGTCCCGACGCTGTACGGTGGTGGTGGGTAAACGCATAGCGGCCCGGCAGTCGCAGGCTTCCAACGTTCAGCCCCGAACGCTGAGTACGCAGAATTTCCTATAAAGTCCACGGCACCAATGAAAGGATGAACGGAGCTGGTGGCGGAGCTGGTTACTGGTGGAAAAGTCACGAGCCTTGGCCACGACTATCAGAGTTACAGAGGGCTTTATGAGAAGGGAAAGGGGGGAGAGAGAGGGGAGCCAGGCCTGGGGGGAGGGAGCAGAGAGGAGAGAGCAGAGAGAGAGAGAGGGAGGGAGGGAGGGAGGGAGGGAGGGAGGGGGTGGGGGTTGGTGTCTGACTTTTTAAGGTGGGGATTGTGCGACCATGCGGCGGGTACATAGTCACCAGTGCCCACTGATGATGTAAGACGCTGCACATACACAGGATCCTAACACTGAGAGTTCTACATCTTGATCAGTAGCCAGCAGAAGGAGGCTGTGTACCACACTGGATGTAGCTTGAGCATATGAAGCCTCAAGCCCACCACCACAGGGACACACTTCCCCCAACAAGACCACATCTCCTAATAGTGCCACTTCCTATGGGCCAAGCATTCAGATCCATGAGTCTATGGGGGACATACCTGTTCAAACCACCACATTCCACTCCCTGTCCCCCATAGGCTCACAGCTATAACATAATGCAGAAATGCATCCAGTCCCACTTAATAAGTCCTCATAGTCTATTACAGTCTCAGCAATGTTTAAAAATCCAAATTCAAAGTCTCTTCTGAGATGCATGCAATCTCTTAACTGTCATCCCCTGTAAAAACAAAATAAAAAAGCGGATCACATACTTCCAACATACAGTGGCACAGGATATACATTAGCATTCCAAAATGTAAGAAAGGGAGATAGTGAGGAAATACGGTCCAAAGCAAGAATGAAAACCAGCTGGGCAAACTCCAAACTCTGCATCTCCATGTCTGATGTCAAAGCGCCCTTCAGATCTCCAGCTCCTTTCAGCTTTGTTGACTGCAACACACTTCTTTCTCTTGGGCTGGTTCCACTTCCTGTTAGCAGCTCTCCTCAGCAGGTATTCCACAACTCTAGTATCTTCAGTATCTTGGGGTCTCCAAGGCAATCCAGGCTCCACCTTCACAGCGTCATACGATGGCCTCTCAAAGCCTCCATTCAGGGGCACCCCTGACACACACCTGGTCTCAGCAATCATTGAGACACAACCCAGACTTTTTTTTTTTCTTTATGAGACAGGGATTCTCTGTGTAGCCCTGGCTGTCCTGGAACTCACTCTGTAGACCAGGCTAGCCTTGAACTCAGAGATCTGCCTGTTTTGCCTCCTGAGGGCTGGGATTAAAGGTGTGCGCCACCACTGCCTGGCAGAATTTTTTTTTCTTTTTTAAAGAGATGGAGTTTGCCTTTGTTGTCTAGTCTGTCCTGAACCCCTGGGGCTAAGGACACATGCCACTGCTCTTAGCTTTTTCCATTTTTAAAGTCTTCAAAGACTCTCTGAGAGAGGCAGAAAGACTTAGTTCTCTGGGTTTAATTTCTCCTTCCTTCCTTATTTAATTGCCTCCTTCCTGTCTGCTACTATTTATTGTTCCAATATCAATGATAGCAACTAATTGGGACTCATAGAGCAGTGGCCTAATTGGTCTCCTGGGCTCCAGGCTTGGGTAGTTTGAGCATTTGACTGTTCCCTAACTGACCTTTGTTTTCCAAGGCCAACCTCTGGCTAGTACTCCCTGTGGACTTTAAGGCTAAGAGTTTATTTCTTCATTTCTGAGCTATCATTTGGAGCATGGCAGGAAGTCCTGTCTTAACTCTGGTTTCAACTGCCTCTTCACCCCCTCTTTCCTTTGCTTCCAATTTTAGACCTGGCAGCCTTGGATTAGGAATCGAAAGGAGAGGCTGGAGAGACGGCTCACTGGCCAAGAGCACTGGCTGCTCTTCCAGAAGACCCGAGTTCAGTTCTCAGTGCCCACATGGTGTTAAACCTGAGACTATCGAGAGAAAGACTGGTTCTGCATTTTTTTTTCTGAGCCAAATTTGAAGCAAGTTTTAATTAAGTACTGGACAGGATGGTGGACCATTCCATCCAGGGTTCTTAGGAAATGGTGCGGAGTCACCGTCTTTCCCACCGTGCCCAATCATGGGCAAACATGTATCCTGCACCCAATCATGGGCAAGCATGTATCCTGCACCCAATCATGGGCAAGCATGTATCCTGCACCCA